TATTTTCTGTTTTTTTTATTCTAAAGTTTGTTGTTTTGCTCCGCGAGCGTCCTGTCAGTCATGACGTCACCGCGGCCCCGCCCACATCAGAGGACAGTCCATCTGAGGACCACCTGTCCTCTGGGCTGCTGTTGATCCGGGTCCTGCACAGAAGATGGGGGCAGCAGGGGSGTTCGGCCTGGTTCTGGTCGCCGCGGTTCTGTTCGGGACCCGGGCCGAAGTGCTCGATGACATCATGGACAGCCTGTCGCGCGGAGTCTCCTTCCTGGAGCGGCAGCACGCGCACATCAACCTGGACGGAGCGGTGGGCTACGTCATGCTGCAGGGTAGGTCTGCAGAACCGAACCCCGAACCGAGCCTGCTGCTGCAGGGGAGGTCTGCAGAACCGAACCCCGAACYGARCCTGCTGCTGCAGGGGAGGTCTGCAGAACCGAACCCAGACCCAAAGCTGCATGACCCACCCTGCAGCTGCAGATCCGCAGAGCTGGAACCAGAACCGAGCCTGCAGCAGCAGAACKTTTCAGTTTGTCCTCAGGTTTTAGTTTGATTTGATCAAACTGACAGATTTGTTCAGTTTTATTCTTAAACTGATAAAAAATAACATTTTAAAAAATGATTGTTTGAAAAGGTTTAAACCAGGGTTATTCAATTGGCGGCCCGCGGGCCACATCTGGCCCATGAACAAAGTTGAGCCCACCAATTGGTTCATTCATCTTCAGGTCAAACCTGTTTTCTACTTTAACAAGTGTTTTAGTTAAACACAGACATGTTTGTGTCTCAGAAACAATCTCAGCTACAAGCTGGTAAATGAACATCTAACAGTTCAAACTACAGCTGCTGAAGATAAAACTATGAAACTGAAAATAAAAAAAAATTTTTTTGGCAAGTCAGAAATGTCAGAATAATAATTGTAGTAACCATGAGGTAAAATGTGTTATTTTTGTTTTTGTTGTGTAATTATCACTACTTTTATAGAGTTCTGTATGTTTTCATGATTAAATGCAGAAAAATCAACTAATTCAAAGGTAACAGATGTTTGTTGTACTTCTGACTTTATTCCTGGACGTTCCTCAGCTGCTGACCTGCAGGAACTGTTGTGACCTCTGGAGACTTTTAGTTGAACAGTTCTGTTCAAACTGAAGTTTATCTTCAACATTTCAAACATTCAGATTTAAATCTTCTGTTTGTTTTTCACCAAAATAAGTTTAACTCTTTGTCTGAGTCTCAGTTCAGGGTCTCAGTTCAGGGTCTCAGTTCAGGGTCTCAGTTCAGGGTCTCAGTTCAGGGTCTCAGTTCAGGGTCTGGGTCCTGAACTGAGACTCAGCCTTTATTTTGACTCATACCTTTATTTTGAAACGAATAAAACATGGTTCTACTTCCTGTGGGTTGTTTTTGTCTCAGCTGAGCTGAAGGAGGCGGTCAGGACCTGGCCCCACACGGACCCGGTCAGCTGGGCTCAGAGGACCACCGCCAACGCTCTGCTCAGACGTTTGGACCAGAACCTGGACAAGTCCGTCACGGCCCTGAGGCAGAACGACCCCAAATACTACCAAGGTCAGAAACCAGCCCAGTCCTTGGTTCTGAAGAACCAAACAAGGTTTTAGTTTCCTAGTCTGTGTCTCCTTAATGAGTCCAATAACGGACCAGAACCTGGTCTGCAGTGAGGACAGGAGATCCGGTCTGTTGTAGTGAAGAATTTAGACTTACTGATCTACGGTCCACCTGTGGTCTGGAAGGTTTGGTCAGGACTAAAAGACCCAGATCCTGGATCCAAAGAGTTTTGAGGAGCCTCAGAAAAGGGGAGCTTCGTCATTTGCTCCTCATCTGAGGTGGTCCAGTTGTCTGAGACTCTGGGACAGAACCAGAACTCTGTAGGACTATAGATCCTCTCTGGTCTGGGAACTGGGATCCTCCAGGAGGAGCTGGAGAGGCAGGTCTGGGTTTCCCTCCCGGACCTGTTAGCTCCATGACCCACATGAATGACAGAGCCYGAGTCCTGTTTGGACCTGCAGCAGAACCATCCTGCAGAGTGGAAGTGGGTCACAGGAAGCTGGAGAACTTCTATCAGCTGCAGGAACTTTTAGCTGATCCTGGTGAAACCTGTCATCTGTTGCTGAGGTTCTGATGGTTCTGATTGATGGTTCTTTTCAGAATTTGAACCCCTGCTGACCTGGAGGTTCTGGCTGACCCCTCAGGAGTGGCGCTCCACAGATCCCAGTCTGGTTTATCCCTCCACCATGACCTCGGAGTGCTACGATGAGCAGCTTAGTGACAAGTGTCTGACTCTGCTGCTGGGAACCTGGTACGACCCAAACAGAACCGGGRCCAACCTGGCTCTGAAGACCTTATGACCCAGAGTCTGTGAGTGTTCAGACCTGAACCTTTGGTTCTTGTGTGTCTCTGGTTGGACAGGAAGATGAACGGGACGCCTTGCATCGTCACCAAACCCTGTCGAGACACCATGACCCGCTTCGGTTGTCCACATTACTCCCTGTCCCACCAGCTGCTCTACTTCATGATCGGCAGAATGGTGAGACCTGTCCCAGTCTTTGTCTTCTYTCTGTCCTGTCCTCTCAAAGACCAGCTGGACGAGGCAGACCTGCTCGTCCTGAGGCAGTCTTTGTTCACTTTATAACAAACAAGTTGTCTTCTCAGAGAGGCTGCAACGACCTGCTGAAAGGTGACACCAGAGCATCCAGAACCAACATGACCCAGAAGAACTACCAGGAGATCTTCTGCTCCAACATGATGAAGACCAACCAGGACATCATCACAACCGGTTTGACTGAACAGACGATTGACATCTTCATTGAAAACAGTCAGTGTCCACCCTCGCTCTTCTCAGTCCTGATTCAGAACTAATTTAGTTCCCGGTTGACGTGCTCTCTGTTCCTCTCTGTTTTCAGTCCTCATCTGTGGATTGGCTGGATTCTCAGATTTTTACAAAGCTGATTGGCTGCAGCACATTGTTGGGATGCAGGACGGGGAGGTTGGGTGCTTTGGAAGGGACAGTGAGTCAAAAATATTTTTAACAATACCTACAGTAAGAAAACAGTGGAACTACAGTTAAACTACAGTCAGACTACAGCAAAACTATTCAGACTACAGCAGAACTACTGTCAGACTACAGCAGAACTACAATCAGACTACAGCAGAACTACTGTCAGACTACAGCAGAACTACAATCAGACTACAGCAGAACTACAATCAGACTACAGTTTTGTTATTTGTCTTCAGGGAATATCGTCTCTCAGATGATTGGAGATGAACTTCTGGAGCAGCTGCAACCACACAGGAGGGTGAAGAGAAGGGAGAAGATCCTTCCAGGTTGGTTTGGGTTCATCATCACGTTTTTCCATCCATCTTCCTCTTATCCAGGGTCAGGTCTCGGGGGCAGCAGCCTCAGCAGAGACCCAGACCTCCCTCTCTCCAGACA